CATTGGACTTGCCATACTCATCAACTGTTTTAACTTTTCAGGATCTGATTTTAATTCGTTAAGAGTTTTTCTAAAAGCTTCTTTTTGTTCGTTTGTTGCATTTGGCATTGCCATATTAATACACATTTCAAACATTTCTGGATTGTCTAACATTGATGTTATTGCATTTACATTCATCATTGGTGACATTTGATAATATTGATTATTCATGTTAGGTGGATAACCTTGTTGAAAACCCATATTAGGAAATACTTGTCCATTCATCATGTTGGGGTTGTTCATCATATTAGGATTATTCATCATATTAGGATTATTCATCATATTAGGATTATTCATCATATTAGGATTATTCATCATATTAGGATTGTTCATCATATTAGGGTTATTCATATTATTCATATTATCATTACTCGTATTAGGGTTATTCATATTAGAATTCACTTTATTAGCATTCTTATTAGAAGGACGTTCAGTAATAACAACAATACTTAAATCTTTATCAAAATCTAACGATTCACTATCATCTAACTTCTTAGTTCCTAAATACATGTGTTTTATTTTTCCCTCACAATCAAAGTCTTCCTCTATCTTACTTTTAAGTGATGAAACTTTATTATCTGTTAAATCACTTGAAGATATTGTATGTTTCTTTGTATTTATGTTCAATTTAATTACACTCACTTTCTTACTTTCTTGTTCCTTTTCCCTCTCTACCATAAGTATTTTATTTATGGGTTAAATAAAAATAAATAAATTTTATTTTGAATGTTACACAGAAAAAAATAAACATAAAATAAGTTTCTTTAAAATATTTTTTTATACCCATAATTCATAAACATGAGTAAAGAAGATAATGATTTATATCATCCTGGCTTGTTTGATAAAGAGGATAAATCACAGATAGGATTAGGTCGAGATGAAAATTTATCAATTCCTCAAAACTCACTATATGAAAGCACTGTTATTCCTCAACATAAATTTGAAACTAGACACGTAACTGTTTTTGGGTTCTCTTTACAGAATCGAACCAACATAATTGAAAAAATCAATCACATGGTTAACGCCACTAGAGTAGAAGAAGGGAAGAATTATTTAAGTATTTGGTGTGATGATATTAGTGAGTTGGAGGAACTGATTAAACTTAATCAGACCATTCACAACGGAGAAATTATAGGTGCATTTAGAGTTAATTTTGGAACGACTAAGAATGATTCCATATATGCTAAGAGAAGTTTTTTAAGGTCATTATTTGATAAAATTTTTTAATTCAGTTAATTTCCCTCTTTAATTTCTTATTCTCTTCTCATTTTCCATAATAATTCTCTTAAAAGATTCTCTAATATTGATAAGAAAACATAAATAAATTCATTCTATTATAAAACATTACATAATTTTATGAGGTAACAAATAAATTAAATAAATAAAATTCTTATTTTTAAATAACTCGTATGTCTTTTAAATAATCTATCAAATGCGTCATATCAATATTCTTGTATTGTTTTTCTTTGTAAGAAATAAAAAAATATATACCTTCTGAACAATGATCAAATTACATGGTTATATATCTACCAAAGAGGAAGCTGTTCTAGTGTTTGAAGCAGTCAAATTGGGCTATTTAACACCAGTGACCAATAGATTTACGCCGAAAGAAAAAGATTCTATCACCCATGGTGACATCTTATGTTTTGTAGAATCTCCGAAGGGAATGAAGCGATGGACTGATGGAAAAAGCTGGTCTCCGTCTAAAATTTCCGGTGAGTTTCTTTTATACACAGAGGTACCTAGGTTTTTCTCTAAGAGTGCTATTCAGAAAAGAAAAAGATTGTTGGGTTATAGTTGTAGAGAAGGTGAAAAGGAAATATCTGCTGATCCCTGTGTTCTCAATAAAAAATGCATTAATTTTATAATAGATGGATGTACATACCATCTTATCAACTATTATAGACCTGTTTTATCTAATAATTCATTACTTTCAAGTCCTTTCTTTAGGTCTTTATATAAAGCCCTTCAAAGATATAAAAAAGTCTTTAATAAAGAATTCGTATTAAATTTACCTACTGATTCTAATGAGAGAGAAGAATTTTTACTAAAAAACTATCAGATACTTAGACCTGAAAATAATATGTTTACTCAGTTACACAATATAAAAGAGAGTGAAGACATTGCTATTGAAGGATTAATTAAGCTATTCAATCATAAAAACTAAATAAATTATTTATATATTTTTATTAGAGTTAGTTATTTATACTTAAATTTATTTAACAATTTATATCACTTGATTGAAAGTATTGTATAAGTGAGGGTGTGATTGGAATTTCATTTATTTGTGTATCTACACAATCTAGTGGTAAATTTTGTAATGTTGATGTTGTACTACAGTCTTTTGTAATAATTGGAATTATTTTTGCTGTTGATTCATTTTCTAACATGCCTCCACTACACTTTCTTGCTTCACACGAACATTTAGATTGACATCCACCACATGAATTACAATTAGTTTTTGGTGTATTACAACCGGGTTTATTAAATGTTGTTTTTATTGGATTACATTTATCATCATCTACTATTGGACCTATTGCTTTGTTATCACAATCA